CGGCGGGGCGGTGCGTCTCGGCAGGCAGCGCCCCAGCGGTACGGAAGCAGCTTTTCGGTGCCTCGCGGGTTCCTCCCCACTCCGCCCCGGTCAGAGGTGGGGGGCTGCAGCCCCCTCGGCGCCGGGGTTCGGCACGAACGTGCTGCCTGTGCCCAGCTGTGCGGTTTCGCGGGGCGCAGCGCACCCGAAGTGCTGCGTCATTGTGCGGGAGAGCTGGGAACGAGTGCGGGAGGAACTTGCAGCGTCTCGGCTCTGGAGATGAGACTCGCCAGGGAGAGGAGGGGTGAGGGGCGGGGAATGAGTGTAAGGTGGAGAAAAGTGTGGAAAGGAAGCAACGGGGCTCTAGTTACTCTGAATCTCTTTTCCTTTTGAAACACAAATATTTATGTGTTGGTTTGCTTTTCATAGGCGCAGCTGTATTGAATGAGGAAATTAAATCTGAATTCAGTAAAACAACTCAGTGTCTTTTTACAGATATAATCTTGAAAAGATCCCCATCAGGGCATGATTGTTTTCTCCATGTCGTTAATTCTGGGGATTGTTTTAAGCTGTGGGTAATGAGAAATGATACAAAACACGATGGACGAAACGTCAGGATTTTTCTTCTGTAATGTCCTCATTATATTGTGAGGGGGTTTTGTGGCCTTACAAGCCTTAGATGTTCTGAATTCTTCAGTACCAGTAAAAATACTATTTTTACACTTACTGACAGAAAAAGTTATTGACATAGTTCAGATGATAGCTAAAGTAAACTGATAAGACTAGTCTTTCTTTTCCATACGTGTTTCCTAAACAGGCAAAAGATATTTATCTTATTTAATGTAAATTAAATATTTGCAGTAGGGATGAAGGAAGTCTTTGAAGCGTGCTTCAGAACCTTGTGTTAGTCAGAGCGCTGAACTGCTGTTACAGAAGGTGAAATTTTCTACTTCAATCAAGCTGTACTACAAAAGCCAAGTACTTTGCAAACTTTCTGGGTAGAACAGAGATTTATTAAAGAGTGACCACAATTAGGCTTAGTGCTGATCTATTTTGCAAAAAATAAGAACCTCTAAATAGGCCCACTTAAAATCTTGGGAGGGAGATAGTAGGTTTGCTATGTTGTAAAGAATGTTCAGACCACTTTGAATGTTATCTTCAGTGCTTAGGAAAGAATTATCTTAACTATGTGCTGAAACTCATGCCAAATTGTTGTTCTTTCAAATTAAAACACCATTTTCTATGCAGCAGAAAAGCTTTGTGTTCTATTACCCAGTTTTTATCCAAAGGAAATTAGATAATGCAAACCTAGGTTAAGGGATAAAAAACACTGGATCTTTGGGAATTTCTTTTATTCAGATATAGAATTTTTCTTCAAATAACTTATCAAATCAAGTTTATGTATTGAAAGCAGATGTGTTCTATTTTTACAAGATACTTTATTTGAAGTATAGTGTAAGTATAGCATGATAGATACGAGTGTATGTGAATTGGTCACGAACTTTTTGTACGCCGCTTCTCAGAATGTAAAAAGTAATATGTAGAAATAATAGGATTTTAGTTTTTTTTATCATCTGCTCTTAAAAACATTTTTGTTTTCCTTTCCCAAGTGCAAAATATGGCAATCAGTGATCAGTATACTAAAATATTGTTTTAGAGTTCAGCTGTGACAAGGTTCTCAAAATTCATTCTGTAATTTCGGTGTATATTAGTAATACTTCATGGTAGCAGGCTCTCAAATGTTCTTAATACTTTCAATCCCAGATAATGCTATACTTACTTCTATTTAGTCGCAAGCTTATAATGTTGTTGGGAATAATAACTTTAGTATGCAATTCTGGAGTATAGTGTCAACATACAGATACTGTAGAATCTTGTGGATACAACAATGAGAATGTAATTTAGGCTTTAATTGCACTCCCTCCCCCTTAGTGTGGAAGATGACTTCGGCCTTTTGGACTCTTCTTCAGTGCAATTTGGAATGTGGTTTTGTAGTCTCCCGAACTGACCTTTTATGATTGAAGCTGCTGTTTGTTGGGCTGGTTACTAGTTACTATGACTTTTCTCAAATTTGTAGATCTGCCTGAGCTGCTTACACATTAACAGATAGAAAGGTTTGACTTTGTGTTCTTCTTAAACTGTTTCGAGCTTTGGGTTTTGGTTTTTTTTTTTGTATCTTTGAAATCCAGATAAATGATGTGAGTGGTAAAGCTTTTATTTTCACAAAAATAAATCTGTTGCCTATATATAGCCAAAACTTATTGCAGATAGTACTAAAATAAAATCCTTCCATTTTAGGAACTAGTAGCACAACTAAATTAATGTGCTTTTTTATATTGCATTTTTTTTCCCCACCTTTTTGTCCCAGTTCTTTCTTTTGCTGTCCTTAGGACCAGTAGGATTTCTGTGCTCCTTCGTCTTTTCCCATTATATAATTTATTTCAGTAGGGAAGTTTAATTGTAATGCCTTGTCTTTAATCAGTTACAAATGGATTTTCTTGTTCTGGTTAATCTCAAATATTAATTTTGTTGCCTGTCAGTGTTAGGAGAAGGAGGAGCAAATGCAAGGGCCAGCCTTCATTCTTAATTGTTCACAGTGAATTAGTGTTTAATGTTTTGCCTTACTAGCTTTTTTCCATACTTCATCATAATGTTACTTTGGGCCTTAGTCCTCAAAGCTTTATCTGGATAGGCAGCAGATGGCTTACTGAATTGTAAGGGGAAGAGTGGTGTTATCTCTTTAAATATACTGATAGACTTTGAGAAATAAAAGGTCACAAGTGTCAAAATTGTGGTGCTGCTTATTTTGGTAACTTTATAAAAACTTGGTGTCTGTCAGTAGATGAAAACTGAGAAACTGTGTTACCCAGTGAAGTAAACTGACTTGCATTTACACACAGATTCTGAGCTTTCCTGATTTTTGATTTTTACTATTTTTCTAAACTAGCTAGTTGGGGGGGTGGGTGGGTTTGCGTTTGTGTTTTTTTGTTTGTTTGTTTGTTTGTTTTTTTTTAATATAATGAAGCAGTAAGTGGGTGATCAGTAGTTTGTCAAGGCAGATGTGCCAAGTTACTTTGTTACAGGAAAAATAGAAAGTAGGTTAGCAAATGGACATTTAGTATCTTGCCTCTCTAAGGAAATAGCTTTTGCTGTTTTGTGAACCCAGAAGTGGTTGGTTACAGGTAGCAACTGCTGTTTGCAGATGCTTCTCTCAATTTGCCTTTGCTTCTGCATCACAGGTTCTTCTTTGGTATTTATCCACAGACTCTCTGAATCTGATTTGAGTCAGAGGATCTGTGTATGTGTTTTGGCAAAAGCATTTGATATATGTTTATTTTTTTAATTGGAAAAAAAACCTATTTAACTACAAACCTGGAATTGCACACCTTTTATAGAGCTTTTAGGAGTCAAATACTCACTATTGCTTTCTTTTTACAATGGTGCTACAGCTTGTCCATTTGTATGCAGAATGTCTCTTATGAATGTGTAATGCTGCAAGCCATGATGTGAAGTGTGTAATGAATGATTTTACTTTTTTTACCAAGCTGTATTTTTCTTGAACTATAAGAAATTGCAGGGCGTCTGTTAGATCTTTCTGTGCTGTTTTGTCTCCTAAATGCTTAAATATGATTCAGACTCTTCTGTCAAAGAAGTCTAGTCTACTTTGCCCAAAGGCTGAGCTAATGTGCCAGTAAGACACAGTACCAAAGCAAAGCAGCATAGAATATTTAGACCTCTTTTTTGTCTTTAGATTGGACTGGTTTAGATGAAGATGAAGATGCGCATGTCTGGGAAGACAATTGGGATGATGACAATGTAGAAGATGATTTCTCCAATCAGTTAAGGTAATCTTTTTTTTAATTTACTGTTCTAGAATATGGGTAAAATGTTCAAAATGGCTCTGTTAATATCTGAAAGTTTGAAGTCTGCTTACTTTAAAAATGAGATCTGAAATACACACAGAAAAAAAGCTCTGTACTTTTCTGTCTAAAGCCTTTCAGAAACAGATTTAAGGGACTACAGCAGAGTGAAGTACTGAGAAGCATTTAATCTTTTAGTAATTGTACTGTGAACCCTGAAATATGCCTGATGTGTTCAGGCTTTTGCTGTGCTACACAACTTAAACAGTACAAAGATCATTGCAACTTGTGATACAGTTGACACTTTTTCAGTTTAACATGAATAAGTCCTTTTCTAAGGATTTGTCTGAATATGTGAAAATTCTGAATCATATTGCAAAGGTTAATGGCAAGGGATCCAAGATTCTCTTCTGTGTGATGTGGTATGCAAAATGTGTTGTTATAATTTTTTTTCTATACCTTCAAATAGTATTGCTGTTCTTTGTCCAAATGGACAAATTTTCTAGAGATCAGTTACCTATATTAATGTTAAGGTTCCCTTCTTGTGTGTGGTGAACATGCTGTTGATGAGCAACAATAGCAAGGTAATTGTTCATCACATGCCTTTAAAAAAGTGATAGCAATTTGGGTACCTCTAATCCAGTTGTTTAATCTGCTTTGTCACTTGTATCTTCAGTTAATCTTTTACTGATGCATAATTATGACTTAAATTGTTTCAAGCAGCAATACAAAGTCACATTTTATAATTAATCCCCAGTATGTTGCATGAGGACAAACTACCTGTAATACAGCCTGGTTGAACTATTTCTGGGCTGATCTCCCTTGTTGTACTCAGGTGAAAGTGACCCTTTATGTAGATGATACAACAAAAGTCTGTTGTTATGGTTGGTTCTTTTAAGATTGAAAGGCAGTTAAACTGTAATATAGGAAAATAAGTTGATATGTAGTGAAATAGCCTTTCAAGGGATAGTGTAATTCTTGATTACCATAGTTGATCTTGGCAAACCTTCACTAACTCTTAGCCTGTAGTATTGGTGACTGCATACTGGTGTTAAAATCATAGTTTTTAATGTTGCTTTGTGGCAGCATGTTTTTATTTCATCTTTAGAAAGAAAATGCTGCAGTTCTCCACTTCTAAAATTACGCTACTAAGTATGTAAACTAACCTGAAATACTTTTAGAGATTTGAACCACTGCATTTAGATACATGTATTATAAGACTAGGAGATTAAACAGGATGTAGTTCTGGCTGGTGTGTTTGGAGGCAGGTGAAAAGCAAAGTGACGACAGGGTAGGAGCAATAGCTTGAGGTTGCTGACTTGCTGTCCTGGCCACAATTAAGGGGAGCAGAGCAATCCTTTTCCCTCAAAATTGTTCATTGGAAGGTGTATTGCACCAAGATTTAAAAATAATGCAGTCTTGTATTTTTATTTAAAAGAAACAAAGAAGAAAGTTTAAATTATTTTGGAAGTGCGTGCATTTAAATCACTTGGGTTAATGAGTTTATTTGGCTTTCAGAAATCTTGAAAATAACTGGCATAAGACAATATTTTGATTTTTTAAAATATTTTTTATTTTTTGTCTGTCTGGAGTTGTTTCAGGCTCAAAGGTGCTGCTTTGTGCCCTTTAGTTGTACTCAAGCCATGGTGGGTCAGAGGACAATAACTATGTTTAAAAGAACCATTTGAATTTTTCACTTAGTCACTTTCGGTGATCTAAGACATTCAGCTGAAGTTGAACTATAGAATAAGTGAGGTTAAGGTATACCAAAAAGCAGTATGACCTGTTCATATTATTTCTAAAATGACTTTATTTCTAAAATATATTGTGCAATATATTTAGTTTTTAAGAATGCAGATATCTGACAGCATTTATTTGCATGTTTTAATATACTTCTCTTTTTTTCTATACAGGGCTGAATTAGAAAAACATGGATACAAGATGGAAACCTCATAGTTTTTGCTGAATATGGAGTGGTTTAACATTGAACTGTGGATAGACTATATTGAGAAAAGAAGAAAAGATTGAAAATGAGATGACACACTTAGTTCATTATCTGCTTGGATTTATTGTTGTTTTATATAAAAAATAAAGTTTTTAATCTTAGCCTAGTCATATGTTCAGCCTCTACTCACCTGGTAGCTTGTATTTCAGTTCGGAAATGCCTTGTGTGACAGAATTCACGGATTTGCCTAGAATGTTACTAATGGTGTCGGTGGCTGATGCTGTTGCACCAGCCTCTGTCATGGGGAACCAAATAAGCATTACCAGAATGAAGAGTGGTGAACATTTGTAATAGGGGGTGTGGAGATGTAAAAAAGAAATAAAATATCCATGTATTACAGGTAAAATTCAGCAGAGGTAGAAAGGAGTTTTGGGGAGTGATAAAGCTTATTTTGCCTCAAGCTTTATTTCCTAATGACTTGGGGTTTTTTTGTTAATAACTCCATGTGGGTGCCAGTTTGGTAGACTCAAAAGATAACCCCCCCCTTTAAATTGCATCTTGCCACAGCAGAATTCCAAACTCTCCAATCCTGTCCTGTAGTTTCTCAAGCCTATTAAAGAGGAGCCCTCTCTGGAGGTGAAAGAAGTTCTGTTCTCATGCTTATTTAAACCTAGGAATTTCTGCTGAAATAGACTCCAGTTTACCAGTTACAGCAGTTCATCTGTATCACGTAAACATGCCTGCTGAGAACGGAAATAGAACTTCCAACTCATTTCATGGAGGCCAAGAAATAGTTGCCAGATAGATACAGCAGTAGTGACTGGGTTCGATTACTCTCTGAACTAGACAACAGAAGGTGGAAGTTATGAAACCTATTACCAGTCCCAGGAATCCTCCCCAAAGGAGCTGGCATATGCAAAGACAGAGGGAGATCTGGCGATCCTAGATGTGTAGGCCATGATTGCAAATGTTTTAAAAAAATTAATTTTAATAAAGGGGCAAATATAACGATGTACTCCTGGAGTTTGAATTAGCTGCTTGATTTTCAGCAGTTTACTGTAGAGAAGCAAAGATGTAATTGTTATTTAAAGTAAGCTTTCAGAATGAAGAAGTTAGTTGATGGACCTGCAATAATGGTATTAAATGCTTTAACCTTGTTAACTAAATAACTGAGTATCTTATGTTATAATTGCATCTATTAATGCAAAATGCTAGGAAGCTTCCCCCTCCCCAAATTATTTATATTGTGCTGTATTTATGATGGAGTCAAAATTCACTGTGACCCTTACTGCTTTCTGAAGATGGTTCCACAAAGCCTGAGACCTTCCATCGCCATCTCAATGGTTCTACAAAACTGGATGTGTCAGATGGTGTTGGATGCCTTCAGATTGTCTGGTTTTGTGCTGCTTGGGGAAAAGAAAGGCAGGCCCTGTCAAATAGCCTTGCCCTATGCTCAAGTAAGTGACTTGTTCAGATTGAAATGTGGCTCATGCGGCCCAACTCTGTAGAATAAAGTCCTGGAGTTTGTATTTTGACAAGTAACAGCTGAAAAATCTGTGTATGGAGTGGCCAACAGCAATGCAAACATTCTTAGGTTAGTGCTGGGAGTTTAAGAAAAAAGTGCCTTCAGTACAGTTCTGAGATTGCTGCTAGTGTTACTAACACATCGGGATTGGAAGTTGAGTAATGAGACTGACCAAAAGAAGATGACAGAAGAGCTATGGAGATGTCTGGTGCAATCTTAGGATAGGGACAGCTGCTTTCCATTACAGGAGTCTGGAAACCTGGCTAAAGCAGCCCAGTTCCATCAATTACTAGCAGCAGCAGGAGGAAACCACGGAGGCAAAAAAGCATCTTTGCATCAAGAAATCTTAGTTTTTTCCTGAGCCACTGTTCTCTCATGTTAGTATCTTTTTCTACTTTCTTCACAAAAGCAGAATTGTGCAGGGAAGGCTAGGCTGAGTTAGTCTGATGGCTCTGCACTCTTGCACTAATAAACTTCCTTTGGCTGCTAGCATATGACCTGGAACCCCCAGCTGGAAAATAAAGAGCAGTCTGCTTTGCGGGTCAGTTTGATACAGTCTGTATAATGCTGCCTGCACAAGAGAATTTGTTGCAAAGGAGTAAACAGGAAATCCTGTGCAAAATGCTACCAGAACACAGCTTATCGCAGAATCAAGCATTTCATGGAGGCTGATGGCCTGTATAATTACCACTCTAGTCTTAATTTTTTTGCCCTCCAGTTTATTGTGTGGCCATATGGTTCCTTTTATTTTAAGCTTACCAGTATAAAAATGTCTTGGGAACCTTTCTACTTCAGATTGGCTGCTTTATTTCTTTCTAAAAATTTTAAACCCCAGCTGGTTTTGAGCCTGAAGCTAGATGTTTTATTGCCTTTTTTTTTTTTTTTTTTTTTTTTTTTTTTTTT